ATATATATATATATATATATATATATATATATATTGTTTTGTTTTTGTTTTTATAAACAATGTTTATTTCATTCAACCTTTATTTATACAAGTTAATCCCATAGAGCCTCGAGGACTCATTTACAAGAGAGACCTGATTTTAACAGAGTGATGACAACAGTGGACAACAAAGACAATAATAGACAATTATAAAGGATGTGTACAAATTTTTTTTTTTAACAAGTGAAAATAAAATGGTAATTAAAAGGAAAAGTAGTGAAAAAACAGCTAGGTTGTTGGGTGATGCAGAATACTAAAAACAGGAACATGTCTGCAATGGTTCTTGCCAAGAATTTAACAGATATTTGAAGCCACTTAGAGAAGTCAAGGTTGAGAGCTTCAGATCTTTTTACAAGATATTCCAGGAAACAGGAGCGGAGTAGGAGAAGGCCTTTTTGCCTCGTTTCTAAACTCTAAATGCTCTAACAGAGCACAGAATGTCATGATTTCAGCTCTCTGCCTCCTCTCAGCCACATCTGCGCTCTTGGCCACGCCCACTTCTCCGCTGCAGAACAGAGATAGACAGAGGAGGAGGAGGGAGGAGGAGCTGCAAGAGGAAGTTTCTCCTGCAGTGTGGGCTGCACAAAGGTACAGCAGGTGCTGCTAAATAATATAAAATAATTTAAGTTAAATAAAAATCCCATGCCGATCGTGCGCCTCATCCATCAATCAACCAATTGTGTGTCATGTCCAATCTTACCTTGAAAAACCGTGATAGAGCGAGTCCACAAAAAACGAACCGCGAAGTAGCGAGGGACTACTGTACAATTAAAGGGAAAAAAAACAAAACTGAACAGAAAGATTATCAGGAGGAAGTGGTTGTTCCGCTACGTGAGTGTGCTGCTTGTGGGACTCAGTTGGTGTGGTTCCTTGGACTGATGAAGTCCTTTGGTTGAAGGACAAAACGGGTCAACAAAAAAAGAAACCGTCTAGACGGCCTGACTGAACTTTGTTGGATATCAGGAGAAAGCCTCATCTCTCAAAAAAGAAGATGGCAGCACATCTTGGATGTAGAAATCTGAAGAAACTACATGACTTCTGGAGCAATATGTTTAGTGAGACCAAATGTAATGACAGTGCCATGTTAG